TTCCGGCTTACATACAAATTCAACTTAAGGACAGACCTTGGGAATGGAACTCGTTCTTAAATTGGGGACTACCTGTAATATAGGTAAATACAAGTTATAAGTGTAGAAGTCAAGCAGGCTGCAACAGAGGAGAGGGCAATTCTAAGGCTAACGGCATCTGAGATTTTTATTGCCCAGGAAGGAAAGAATCACATGACCTACACTTTGCCTCTAAGTTGGCTGTTACTAATTCAGCATAGTTGTGTCCCACAGCTGAGCTTCATAGAGAGCGCAACCCAAGGAATGCATACATTACAATAAATGTTAGTCCACTCTCCAGATGGATCTAGCACAAACAGCAGTGAAGGAAGAGTGTCAGTATATCTCTGGCTCTCAACTATGCTGATCAACTGGACTGTGGCTAGCACTTTCATTATAACAAACCAGAAGGACCGTTCATGGCAAATTTTACTGAGTTTCTGAAGTCTTGAAGGAACTTTACCAGGCACCCTGTCGATTCGTCCAGATAATAAATATGTCCCCAGTGCATCTGAACCAGAGAAAAGTCTCTTGGGATAAGAGATGAGGATGCACTGCTCTGTACCAGCTATGAAGATACTAGTATTCTGTTATGTCATGTGGGATCACCTAGAAATGTTTTCAGGTTCTCCTTTATCTGCTTGGGAATGGAGTAGTCTTCCAACTTAACTTCCTCATCAAGGAAGAATGGAAAAGGACCTTTTTGATAGTAATAATAAATCTGAGAAAAACAGATTCAGTCTTTATTAACTTCTGAGAAGCTGCTAGGAGACTTAAGGATATAGTTTAAAATAGTGCTGGCAACATATAGGCCACATGCAGTTTACAAATCCCATTTATGAACCCCCGAGATTTCATTACCAAAACTGAGGCAAACTATCAAATCACAAAGACATTACTTATCAGTTTTCAAAAGAAAAGAAAAGAGTGATCTAAATTAAGTTTAAAAAAATCACAAAGCCTAAAATATATACATAAAAGCCTAAAATCCTGGTTTCACCCACTTGTATAACATCATATCATGTACCTATCACAACATCAAGCCATCTTTTGGGAATATATGTGATAGGCACATTCACAAAAAGAGGATTAGAATGAACATGGGGACATTAGAGCAAGACTACCCAAGTAATAGCCAAGAAAGCTGAATATCAGAATCTTGAAGAAGCAGGAGCAATTGATTTTCACAGAATCACAGAATTATAACATTGGAAGAGATGATGAGGATCATCTAGTTTAATTCTCTGCAATGTGTGGAAAACCAAATAAACCATTTGCAAGAGGTGACTATTTAGCTTCTTCTTAAAAACCTCCAGAAGTGGACAACCCACAACCTCCATAGGTAGACTGTTTCACTGTTGTATAGATTTTGAAAAAAACTAACTTTTTGTGCCTTGGGGAAAACTAGTCTTTGGGGTATATTTCACATGGTAAGAAGTACATCAAACACCTCTAATAAACTTTTTGTGAAACACTAAGACTTTCATCTCTAATAGGCACTATACTATCTGGTTGTCAGGTACAATGATGCCTCAAATATTCTCATCCTAAAATGGGATCTAATACAGTACTGAGAAAAAAATGTCTGACTGTGCCTCCCTGTTGTGTTTTGAATGATTAAGGAAAAGTATTGGATGTTTATTTGGCCTTCTAATCTTGGTAGGCAGACTTGTTTAACAAAGGGTTGAACAAATTTCAGTTTGGTTTGTTCTAAAGAAATTAGTATATTCAGTCCCAGGAAGAGAAGCTGGTTACTTTATGGATTCTTACTTTGTCTTCATTGAAGCTCTAATTCAGAAAAACTTTTATTCCAATTATCTTTGGCATATATGTCCTGAAATTCCAGCATTCCTCATCCTGTCACTACTTTAGTGACAGATTTTTATGGGAGCCCGGACTGATATCTATTGGACCTAAAAGCCGTGATCTTTCTCACCTCCACTGAGACTCTAAGGTCAAGAAGATTCTTCTGTAAACTAACACTGGCATGTTAACTTGCAGCAGATGTCAACATCATAGTGTCATATGCACCAACACATTTGCAATGCCCACTGATAGTATTCACAGAAATAATTTTTGTTAGAATACATACACACAGACCCACACACACACATGGGACCCAAAATCTCACAAGATGACAAAATAGTAAGATTTTGCTGTTTTTGCAGTGGATCATGAGAGACTGCACAGACATCAAAATCTCATGACATTATAGCATTCATACTTAAGGTCACATGATGTGTTGAGAGACTGCTGAAATTTTGTGAGATTTGGAGATTTTACCAAATTTGAGCCATCTATTTTTTTCTCCGTTTTTATTTTTATTTATTAGCTCCCAGAGCTGAAATGCTATTAGCCTCCTAAGTAGAGATTTTAATTCCTCTGCATGAATAAAATACTTCTTGGTATTCTCCACAGGAATCATTCTGTGATCAAAGATGCCTACTTATTAATGGTTTCAAATTTTGCAAAACATTTTTTTCTTTAGAGCCACAAGCAAAGAAAGCTCAGAAGAAGCAACAGTAAAGGAATTTGAAGTATTATTTTTAAGCAAAGAGAACCAAAAAACCTAATAATTTGGGATTAAGAGAATATGAATTAGGCAATAGAGTAAAACAAGACGAAATGAGACAGACACAGAAAAAAACAGAGTCAAGTACCATCAGGTATAGAGATAAAAATGTAAATCGCATGATCTTTCCTTTCCTGGATAATAGGAGATTAATCCACTGTTGATTAATCCACTCCTCACTTCAAACTGAGTACATAATGTTTTGCTCCACCTCTGTCAGTGGCCCTTGATAAGCTTTTCTGGAAGCAATGGAAGACAACAGAACCATGTAGCTATCATTTTAATTTTCCAGTATATCTCAGAACAGGGATTCCCACTGTGATTCATAACCCCAAGGAGTTATGAACAATGGGTCACCGTTTTTTAAAATCCAGATTGTATTTATGCAGACAGAGTTTGAACACTGTCAAAACATGCTCCAGGCTTTGCCCATGCAAGGCTGAAAAGTTTGGCAACTCTGATGATATACAAATTAAATCATTAAATTGTTAGCTTTATTAATGGGAAGAGGAAGGGTTGGGCAAATCCATTTATGATATCAGGGGTCACAACAGCAGACTTTGAGACTAAGTACTGGCAGTATTTAATTTAATTTAAGCTTGTGAAACTAAAACCTTTCTGTTTGCTGCATAGCACCAACTTTTTAAATTCAGCATACCACGTAAAGACTAATAATGCTGTTTTAGTTGTATAAATATAACATGGACAAAAGCATACAAAAAGCAGGCCAATGACACTTCTAAACTGAAATATCCAAAATTATCAAAGTGTGTCAGAAAAGCAAGCTCATGTTTTAAAATGCAGCTACTCACTTGCAAAGCTTTTCAAAGTGCAATAGAAAAAAATGAGACTATCTGATGCAGTAGCAACTGAATAGTATGCACACAAGAACACTTGCCTTGTGCAGATAACACTAAGGCTAGGATGAAATGAAAAGTTCATGCTGGCCTATAAGCAGAAGGAAAAGACAAGATTTTTTCCTATAGGTTCAAGTCCTGTTTTAGGAGCCCTGTTTATTTTTTCATTCATTCACCTGGTGCATCAGGAAGACCAGGAACATTGTCATAGAAAGAGGCTCTCTGAATATTGTGAATGTCTATGGCACAGAAACAGCAAGAATAAAAAGCAGATATAGAAGATAATCCAGTTAGTAAAAAAGAACACCACTCAGAATTGCAATGAAACTTTAAAAGAACATATAGGCTATTATGGGTATTAGGAATGGCGCATTCATTTCAGAATTCAAAAGACTGAACATCAAAGACTGACAGCTGTTTGCAGAAGCAACTAGATATGAGTAAACACTTTCCTGTATAAAATAGTTTATTGACAAGGGCTTTAATGCAAAATATCAGTACAGACTTAGTACTAATTCATAGATTTTCAACGTAGAAATACTGATTGCACAGTGAGGCATTTAGGCCACCATCATATGCTTACAACATGACATGACCATACATGAATATACCCAATACTCATGAACTATCAAAGAAATGAAAAGATAACCCAATATGGACAATTCATCATATATCCATGCCAAGCGCATATGTGTTGGCTGCTTCTCACATACAAAATCCTTTCCAAATGGCTGTTTATATGAAAAATGCTATAACTATTAGATATTCGTGAACATACCTTCATAAATCCGCATGTGTTCAAAATCAATCTATGGTGCATTTATTTTAATTAGGAATAAAACCATATAACAATGTTTAAACAAATATATGATGCGTGAGCAGAGTATGTAACACAGTATGTACCATTCTGGTCACTACATCTCAAAAGGATATTGCAGAAATGAAAACTGTCCTTTTCTCTACAAAGTAATCAAGAGACCAGAATAATTGTCTTACAGGGAAAGAATATAACATTTCAACTTTTCCTGTTTGGGAGTAAAGGAAGCAATATGATAGGGGCTTACAAAAGCCCACAAGGTATGGAAAATATGAAAAGCATCTCTCCCCCAATCATACTAGAACTTGGGATCATTTAATTAAGCTGAATAAGGATGAGAAAGGACTAAGAAAAAAAAAAAGTATCTCACACAGCATAGGTGACCTCTGGAATTCAGTACCACAGAGTGCTTTGACAGTCACTAACCCAAGTGGATTTAAAAGGGATTAGACAAATTCATGGAGGGTAACAATTTCACACATGATATCCTAAGCTACCTCCAGAATCAGAAGAAGCCTGCAGTACTCCCCTGTGTTCGTATCTTGTTTATACCTGGATGCTATGAGAAGGATAGCAGATAGTGGATATTGTGAGAAGAATATTAGAAAGATCTGTGGCTGATACAGTAAGATTCTTGTGCTATTAAAACAGCATAAAACTAAGCAGCAAAGTGATAACTGATATGCCATTACATTACTCTGCAAGCTTGGCAAGTCCAAAAACTGTTTTCAAAGCATGCTTAATGTTAATCATGTTCATTACATGTTAGCAATTTAAGAAAAACCCTTAACATAATATCCTGCACTCCAGTGACTTGGAGAGTTAATCTAAACACAGCTTGCAGACATCTATTTTACAGCAAAACCAGACTATTTTTTAATTAACAGTAACTGAAACAACAGCTTTAATTTTTGTGGTTGTCATGAAGGAGCAAAGCTGGTTTATCTGTAATGGAATCTCTGAGATTAATCTGAATAATTATAGTAGTAAGTAAATCTGTTCAAACATGGCATCTAGCAGTTTGATTCATGAACAGAAAGTGCAGCTAACCACAATGACACAAGTATAAGTGAAATAATTTGCATGGTATGAGCAGAGTATCTTATTACAAATTTTGGCAAGCAATATCTGAACGATCACACAGCAGTTTGGCAACATGGAATTATATTTCATCCTCCCTGGATTTGGAGCAGATTCTTACCATCTTTCCAAAGTTCTGCAACAAATCTGTCAGAAGACTGGTGCAGAAGAGTAGCCACGTTGTCATTCAGTGGGTCCATATTTTTCATTAGCCATTCATCTGCCTTGTAATCCACCTGGAATGAAGCAAATGGGAAACTTGGTGGATCTCTGGAAAACTAAACTGCTTCTGCTCACATCAGCCACTTCAAGGTATTCACTGGAGTCATTTTCAATGAAATCCTTTTAGATTAACAACAAATATTTGGCTATCAAAAGCTTCCATCATCACATATTCATAAATACGATGGCTTCCATCATCACATATTCATAAATACAAAAATTGATATTTTACAGATTCACTTCACAGAAACAACTTTATTCTAATTTGCTGCACCAGATCTAGACATCTTGTGCTATTTGTTAACCATATTTTATTTATTTGCATGCTGCCCACCTCCAGATTTTTAAATGTTTTAGTTACTTTTTATAATTATGACTATTAGAAGCCAAAACAAACAATCAAGGGTCCTATTATATCTAAATTCTAACAGTTTCTCCAACGGAGAAATGTGAAGAAGGGTTAGGGTGTACAGTGATTATTTCTTACCCTTCCTGCATAATGGATAATGCAGAAGTCTGCCTTGTCCTTCAGCTGCCGAGGTTTTTGGAACTTGGAATGAGTACCTTGCTCTTGGACCAGTTTTTCTACAAAAGTCTTGTCAGTTGCTTTAGGGAACCAGCATTCCTCATCCAGCAAAGCCAATACACCTGGAGGGTTTGCCTAATTAAAAAAATATTTTTAAAAATACACAGACTATCACTAGTTATTTTCTTCTTATATTCACCATATAATCACATGTGGAAAAATACTGCTAAAGCAGAACAAATTACATATGTGAAAATCAGAAAGATTTCTGTTTTAGCAGGAGATAAAAAGGAATATAAGATTAAAGCAACAAGTCCAACCAGGTTGATACTGTATCTCTTAGTGTAGCTATAACAATGATCTGAAATACAATTAAAGCTGTCACAACATAAATGGTTTCATTAATGTTTCTTAGAAGAAGAATAGCGCATAAAATATATTATTGTGAGAATCAGACTCAATTTTACAAGTGGCAGTGCTTTGTAAATGTTAAGACCAAGTGTAAAAGGGCTGCACACTAGAATGACTACATTTTAGTTCACAGATTAAAATACAGATTATAGGTGAGTTTAAATTGTTTTATCAGCCACTTTGAAAAGTTCAGTTTTGAACTGAAAAATCTGAATACGTTAAAACACTACTGCAATCTAATAGGCAAGACTACTAATTTGTTAAAGAGAAAACAGGGGAAATGGGCAAAAAAAACACCCTTTGATGGAAATATCCCGTATGTTCAGTTCAGCAAGTGGGAATATCTTGCCTGAGAAAACTACCAGCTGTAAAAAGAAAAGTATGGATACAAGAACTTACAGGTCGTTCAATTAAATCAATGCAGGGTTGTAGATCCAGTCCAAAGTCAATAAAATTCCATTCTATGCCCTCCCTTTGATATTCTTCTTGTTCCAAGATAAACATGGTATGGTTGAATAACTGCTGCAGTTTCTCATTGGTGTAGTTGATACACAGTTGTTCAAAAGAGTTTAACTGGGAAAATAATCAGGGAAGATAACTTTCAACTCTATAGCTTTAATACTGACTATATTGTAAGAAAATGTTGGAGAGCAGATTACTTATCAAGTGTTTTAACCAAACATCAGACAGAGAAGTATAAATCAAGAAAATGTCAGACATGTAGTTATAAACACAGGAAACCCATCTCACTGAGAGTTTCCCAAGTCAGAATAAGAGGCAGGTCAAACCTCAAGCCTCTAAGAAATGTAGTCACAGATGATATGAAGATTTTAATGGCATATTTACAGTTCTGTACTTTGGAGTTCACTATCTTTTAATATAAAAAAAATCTTGCAGAAATTTCTAATATGATATACACAACTGATACTGTGGATGGATAACGATTGGCACTATAAGTTAATAATAACACTTGATGTGTACTACAAGTGTTTGGCTTTGCTTTGCTTACCTCAAAGATTTCAAATCCAGCAATATCCAAGATGCCAATGAAGGAAGCCCCCTGCCGTTTAGTTCTATCCAGAGCTTTATTAATACGGTGAACAAGCCAACGGAAAAGACGTTCATATGTAGCTTTTGCTAATGCCTCTACAGCAAAATCTGCCTTTATAAGGGAAGGTGAAGAAATCATAGTTTATAACTTATTAAGAGTCAGCGAAAGAAGACAAGTATAAATAATATTTTACTGCAGAGAAAACTAGCACAATAGTTCTTAACACAAAATGTATAAAGGAATTAAGCTGGATTCAGCAAAAGTGATCTAAGTGTGAACTTTAGGAAAAACAACGCTATCTAGTTTTGTAATCTGTATAGCTCTTATAGAAAGTAATTGCTTCAGATAAATCCAGAATCAATATTGGACTACTCTGAAGTTATTCAGAACACATACAAAGACAGTGTTAGCAGGAGAGGTGATGTAGGTTTTTTTTTTATTGACAACTCCAGCATCCAAAGAAGAAAAAACTATACTATGTCTCTTGTTTATTTCCAGTCACAGTGCTTTTAAGAGAGAAGGAGACTGAACTTAGGAAAACATTTGAGTTTCCGCTGCATTTTGTGTGTTGCAGCAGAAGCAATGAATTGTTCCAGGAGATGCAGCATTAATTACAGATGCCTGTTACACCTGGTCCTCATTCAGCAACCAATCCAACTCACGACAGTGCTGAACGAGTGGTAGTTACAACCGGTCCTTGTACTTATGGCTGTTGCAGTGGTCACATGATTGCAATTCATGACCTTCCCTGCCAGCTTCTGACAAGCAACACCAATGGAGAAACCAGCAGGAAGTCACAGTCACATGAGGCCCTTGCTTAATGACCCACATGGTCCTTGTTTAACAACAGCAATTGGCACTGTTGGAACTGCTGTCGCTAAGCAGCAAAGTCACGTGGGTTTTTGACTTGTGACTGTGTTGCTAAATGGTGGAGTTTCTGGTCCCAATTAATATAGTTAAGTAAAGACTACCCATTTAGTTCACAATGCTGCCTAAACCTATTTGTCAATCAGTTGTGTGAAGTTCTGACGAATGCCCCAAATCTGAAACATTTTGTCTCTAGCTGTTGGTAAAGGGAGAGGTAGGGTACTAATGGTAGTGTCAACCTGAAATGTATAAATGAGAAAACATGCATGAGCTCCAGGCAGTAGAGCTGGGAACATGAAGGGGAATGGTTTTTCTACTTCTACAGCTTAATGTAAATTCTAGCGATCAGCTAAGTGCTTTCTTTTGAAAGTAAGAAAGACACAATCCCTCTGTTTGAAGTAACATAATGGGATAAGATGTGTGTGTGAGAGAGAAAGAGGCAGTGTATGCATATAATGGGCCTATTATGATAAAAATACCCATCAGAGCAGAATGAAAGGATCCATTTCCTATTATTAAAACTTTAAAATTTCTTCTTGCAGCCATTTTTTTAAAAAAAGAAACTATACATTACAGTAAGTGTATAGTAAAGATTTTTAACAACTAACCAGAACTATATTACCTTTCACGCCAAAAGATAAACATTATAGTCATCTGTTGATTCCTCATATTAGTAAATGGAGAGACATAAAACTGTGTAATTTCTGAAACAGGCTTCTTAGTTTTACCCAAATGACATTTAAAACATCCTCAGCTGAATAAATTTCCATCAGCTGGATTTAAAGTGCTCTTACATATATACCTAAGAGTTGCATACATATTAAGTCCCTCTACCTAAACTGCTTATGTTCAGCTACTATACCAAAATTCAACAAGGAGGCACTGTTGGAGAACTAATTAACAACTACTTCTTGAACACTAAGCAAAATTTTAGGGCTCCAGAACAAAAATCTGATGTACAATCTTAATATAATATAAAATATGTTTACCACCATCACTCTAACCCCTGCCTCCCTAGAGAAAGGGAAATGTTAAATGCACTAGCTGGAAGCAGTTTGGATACAATAAGATTCATAATTCTGTATTTTAGCTTACTTGTTCTTTGGTTTGTGCTTTCTGGACATAGTCCCTGCCAACTTTAATGCGTGGAGTGAGTATTGCTCGAGTAAATTCCATTACATTCATTCCCAACAGGTGGCAGAGCTTCTGTGCAACTATAAATGCAAGCAATGAAGTCAGTTATCACAGTTCCTCCTCAGTAACTAGTTGTGCAATTTATAAAAAAAACCCTAGAACACTGTTTTCATGTAGCATCAAGAAAATATTTTCAAGAAACAATGAGTATCTGTATCTCTGCTGTGAGATTCTTGCATGTTGCAAGATTCTAGGGAACGTTCTCAATGGTCTACTCAGCTCATTTGGGCCAACTGGGCTTCAGTATCAGCCTGTATAAATCAAGAGGTCACCCACCATGTATCTAGCATTTCCTTTGAACTATACTTCGCAAGTGTTCTTTTAGCAGCAATACTTAACTTGACTCTCAGGGAAGCTTTTTTGCCATTACTGACATCCTCAGTGGAATATTAAACAATCAAGGAATCCCATGATTTCATAACCACAGTTTGAAAACTATCTCATAACTCAAGTCCAGGATAATAGTAAACTTTGTACTCCAGCAAGCAAAAAACTTGATAAAGTGATCATTTTAACTGCACTCATCCCTTAGCATATTTTAAGTTTCACAAGTCCCTAATTACTAAATTACTTGCAGAAATCGTCTTTCTGAGAACTGGTGGCTCTGGCAGCTTCAACCCTGGAAAGTTAAGAGAGGGAGGCCAAACGGTAGTGAGAGTGAAATGCTTTAATCCCTTCTCCCCAGTAATCCCAATGCATGACAGACAAGCTGCGTGGAAGTAAATTATGGAAAACCAAACACAGGTACATGCATATGCAAATACTTGCCTGCATTTATTTGTGTGTACATGTGAGCTGGTTCATGGTCTCCAACCCACTGCCCCAGACACCTTGGCCCACACCCTTTGAGTGGGAACAATGCAACATCATTCACACCACTGATACTTCCCCCTTTTCTAAGAATTGTATCTGAAGACGTGAAGCCAGGCAGCCAGTACAAAATACAGAGCTTTTAAAGTATGTTAAGTGATTCTGCCACTAAAAATTAAAATAATGATTTAGAAGTATGAGAAAATTCTTACTATAATTCCAGAGGATTTTTTGTTGTTGTTGTTGAACAAATATACTGCTATCTGTCAATTCACCATTCTGTCATTTCAGTCATCATTCTAATATGATATATATTAATATATATGGTAATATAGATATCTATTCTCAATTTCTCAAAAAATTTAAGAAACTGGTTACTTAAGAAACTGAAACTCATTCAGTTACACATACCATTTTTATTTGTGTTTTAGAAACTTTGCTGATAAGTCCTCCATGAGATCAGAGTTCAAATATTTTTTCAGAGAACAATTGCTTTGATATCAGGACTGAAAAATCAACTTTTAAAAATATAATGTGGGCATGCTGACAGAGTGTGAGAATGAAAAACACAACATTCTTAGTATCCAAACGCTGGATATTATTGTACCACCGAAATTGCTTCTGGCAGTTAATACAAATGATGTTTAGCAAACTATTGTATTAAATATCAAATATCAGTAAATAAGATACAAGAAGTTAAAGCAAGGACTGCCTTTGCCTGTAAACACTTTTACCTGTATTTTCTGGCATAGATGCCTGATCGGTATTTCTCTCTTTTTTGAAGGAAATATTCCCAAACTGTAGTACTGAGGATACCACTTTCAACATAGCTGAGACATAAAACAAGATAAATAATAAAATGTACTATTTTAAGGCAAATATCTACCCATTTAATTAACAGGTAGTCAAGATGAAGAGGAAAATGACTTTAAGAACTCCTAGAAACCATTGGAACATTGGACCTCTAGAAAGACTGCAAGTCAAGGTAGCTGAAAGATTCATATGCCAAATCCAAGTATTCCTGGACAATGTATTTGTCAGAGATGTCATATATTCTGCAGCTGGACCAAACACAGTAAACATTTATAGAAAGATAAGCACACACCTGAGCCCAGAGCATTGCACTGGAATGATGAGACTGTTGGGGCTAGAACCTTCATACATTCCCCTAGGAATAGTCTATACTTCACCATCACAAAGTTGGTAATCTACAATCTTGAAGCTCATCTTTGAAGCCCCAAACAAAAAATTTTTTTTTAAGCTAAGATGCTTAAGATGCTAAATTCAGCATTCAGAATGCCACATATCCCTAGGTATGACACTTTTATTCTATTTTTAATCAGTAAAAATATAAAATATACATTTAGGCATCAGGAAAATAAGAGCCTTTTAAAACATACCTAGTATTTCATCATGAGAAAAGCCCATGATATGCATGGCCTCCATTGTCTCTTGGAAATTATCTTTATCTTGCTGGCCAGGAATGGGTATGTAGCCATTGGACAGAAATCGGTAGTTGTTAAACCCTTCAAGGAGCAAGTCAGCTGTGATAAAGTAAAAAATGAGAAGGTTTTTTCCCCCAAAATAACTGGTACTACTAGCTGTTTATTTACTCATGTTTAAATGGAGAGTAAATAGTTCAACTCCTAGCAATCTTAAATAACGAGTTCCTCAATTTTTGAAGTTTTAAGAAAAATTTGAAGCACATTTTTTTAATATTAAACTAGATTTGCTGAATGGATTGGAATAAGCAAAGAGCTTTCAAGAAAACAATTCCTGGTAAATACATGCATGTCTTTAATATATTCAAACTGATCCATCTAAATATATCACAACACAATAACGTCTACTACAAGAGTTGCGTCACCATACAACCTCAGAGATACTCAGATTTTAGGGCTGTTCAAGGCAAACTGATATAATGTCCTATTGGTATTCAAATTTGCATACAGTAACTTGTATATGGCAAGTAGTTTCTGTGTATAACTCTCTCCACATCTTGAAAACAGAAAAAAATATACCTGTTTTAAAGAGCAGCTATTTGGTGCTGTTCCCAGCTGGAATGCTCTTTTATCCAGTGTGGATACAGCAATTGCTGTCATGTGGTGTTAATTCAGCTTCTGTTTAAATGCTACATTAATCAACTAATATCTACACATATTAACTTACCTTTCAAATGTTCACCAGCCCCAGCTAGAAGCTGATAGAAAATGTGAAAAGTCCGTTCATCTTTGGCTTGACGAACTGCACGTGACTTTTCTAATAAATCTGAACCAGAGCAGTTAAGAATTTTATGAGCAACTGCATATCTTGTCACTTAATTGAAATAACAGCACTGAATTGCTGTTCCTAATAATATAATGCAAACTGTCAAAGTAGCAGCAATAAAGTTGTTAAAGGTCCAATAATTTCTCGAGCTATAACAGCTTCTACAGACTAGTCTACTTAGGTATCAAGCTACCTAATCTATTTATTTGGGTCTTAAAAACATCTTGAGTAGAACAGTGCTGCCAAAGAAACATTCCAGGAGAAATGTCTTAAAATGAAGCTGACACCAATGTGGGGGCCAGACAGAAAAAATGCTGTCATAATTTAATGGCTTGTAATCCTGAGGGAGGCACACAATGGACTAAAGGGTAGGGCTAAATGCAACTGGTGAGCTTCCTGTCCACAATTCATAATTATATCAAATAAAACTAAATTAAATGTAATTCTTTTCTGTCAAGATGGCCTGTCCTCTTTTTGGAGAGCAGCTCCCAGAATGCCAGCCAAAGGCCAACTGAAACTTTTAGGTCTGAAAATCCTAGAAGCATCATCTTTACTTGTACACAAAGTCATGTGCACAGAGGGAAATAATCACTTTCTTGGGGTTAGAGCTAGAGGTTGATAAAGCATTCAGAAATCCAAAGGCAGATAAAGGTGGTAAGGGTTCCTTTACTATTGGGTTCCATATTTTTCAGTAAGTCTACATTAAGCATACCAAAGTCTGATTCCTGGAAAAAAGGGATGAATAAATGCAGTCTCACTAGCTTTGAAGAAAAATGGTTAACCTAAAAATCTTCCACTACTTTCAAAGTAAAATGACTCTGGTACACAGCTGTTACAGAAATCATTCCTAACACATCTAATTCACAAGTAGTTTTTCTAGCTGCAAATTATGAACTCTACTAATACACCAGTATCATAGCTCTTCAAGCTACTGAACCAACACAAATTTTATTTAGCCAAATTCATTTACAGCATTCAGAACTAAAGCAGCAATTGAGGAATTTGTTATGTGTGTTTTAAAAACAGAAACATGATGAAATTAGCAATAGCCCATGAAACCTTATGCCATAACAAATTTCTTAGTTTTGCTACTCCAAACCAAAAGAGATATCCTGTATAAATTGTAATCAGAAGATTTATTAAGGCATTCTGGTATTTATTTTACAAATTAATAATGAAAATATCATCTCCAGATGAGCCCTAAGTTTCCCAGTATCATCTATGGATAAGAACTCTTTAATGTATTTCAATCAAGCCATCAATGCAGATTTCAAATCATAATCAGATTTTATCATAATAGTTGTTGAAAAAAGGATACATGTTTCAATGTTGGCCCCAACAATATAGCCAGTAACATCAAAATTTATTCTGATGAACTTGCCCTGAAGAGAAAACAAATAACCAAAGTTTTAAAATTCATTTTTAGAATGTACAAACTGTGTTTCCAAAAGACTTCAGATTGAACATTTAATACAGTTAGGATAGCAAAAAAACTAAACATGTATATTTTAAAAAATCAAATGTAACAGTTATTATAACTAAGAATACTTAATTTGAAATGGTTGGAGAAATAAAAAGTTCAACCATTACTGTATCCATTAAATTAATATATTAATACATTTTAGGATAGCACTATACTGAAGACTGATAAAAATTCATAATGCATTAGGGAGCAATCCATCTCCTATTTAGTCAGAACGTTAAAATCCTCACTACTTGAGATTACTTTTATGCATAAAGAAACTACCATCTGGATCATATTAAAGTATTCATTACAAAAATAGTGCCAAAGCAATTGGAGTGATTGTGTTTACAACTTCAGACTTAAAGAAAAAATGTAACAAGAAACAGACGCAGAAGTCCTTAACAAACAAGAATGTTCACATAATTCATGTAATAGAATTGAACAAAACAAAATTCTGAGCAAAGAACTTATAAAGTTAATGAATAAGCTACTTATGGGAGTTTGAAATAGTATGGCTGAGAGTTGCCCGAATTCTTACCATTCCATAATATCCTCATATTCTGAAGATTCTTGATTTCACCCTGTCTTACCACTTATTGAAAAATGCCTTTCTCTTTAAATCCTGCTTGGAAATATTTCAAACTACATTGTTCCTAAAGTAACTTATACAATGATAAGTTTAAGATTTTTATTTGCATGTGAAACGCAGACTAAAATAACTTCAACTGAGATTTTTCGCACTTACCCATAGCTTTGTATAACTGAAAAATATTCTGTGCATGACAGCTGTTTTCAAGTGGTCAATCTCCAAATTGAACCAACATCTGGGTGTTTTGGTCTATGCTCAGACAAAATTGTGCTATTTTGGGGAGAAGTGAG